TGGACGTTTTAGTTTGAACTCTTCAATATGCCTTATTATCGTATTATTTTTTCTAAGTTTTTTTTGGTTTTCTAAAATGCATTTGCCTGCGGGCGCCAAAACTCCCCTTCAATTTTTTTTTTAGGAATTTGACTCTTGTTGAATTTTGATAATATGCAGGTGCCCTCTGTATTCAAATTCTTAAACGAGACCTAGGTAATCATTGTGGATTGGTTTTTTCTGTTTATGAATCTGAAGATTGTAGTTTGAACTCATTGTTAAGTGTTCTGATTGTATAATTTTTTCTGAATTTGTTTTTGGTTTTCTAAAATGCAATTGCCTGCGGGCGCCAACACTCCCCTTCAATTTTTTCTTTAGGAATTTGACTCTAGTAGAATTTTTTGTATAGACTTGAATATTGTTAACAAGCAGGTGCCCTCTGTATCATCATTCTTTAATGAGCTAATCATTAGCAATATTGTTTTTTCTGTTTAAGATTCTGGACATTTTAATTTGAGCTCTTCAATGTGTTTGCCTACTGTATAATTTTTTCTAAATTTTTTTTTGGTTTTCTAAAATGCAATTGCCTGCGGGCGCCAACACTCTCCTTCAATTTTTTTTTAGGAATTTGACTCTAGTTGAATTTTTTGTATAGACTTGAATATTGTTAACAAACAGGTGCCCTCTGTATCATCATTCTTTAATGAGCTAATCATTGGCAGTATTGTTTTTTCTGTTTTGGATTCTGTACATTTTATTTTGAACTCTTTAATGTGTTTGCCTACTGTATTATTTTTTCTAAATTTTTTTTTTGGTTTTCTAAAATGCATTTGCCTGCGGGCGCCAACACTCCCCTTCAATTTTTTTTCTAGGAATTTGACTCTATAGTTGAATTTTTTGTAAAGACTTGAATATTGTTAACAAGCAGGTGCCTTCTGGATCATCATTCATTAATGAGCTAATCATTGGCAGAATTGTTTTTTCTGTTTTTTATTCTGGACGTTTTAGTTTGAACTCTTCAATATGCCTTATTATCGTATAATTTTTTCTAATTTTTTTTTGGTTATCTAAAATGCATTTGCCTGCGGGCGCCAAAACTCCCCTTCAATTTTTTCTTTAGGAATTTGACTCTAGTTGAATTTTTTGTATAGACTTGAATATTGTTAACAAGCAGGTGCCCTCTGTATCATCATTCTTTAATGAGCTAATCATTGGCAATATTGTTTTTTCTGTTTAAGATTCTGGACATTTTAATTTGAGCTCTTCAATGTGTTTGCCTACTGTATAATTTTTTCTAAATTTTTTTTTGGTTTTCTAAAATGCAATTGCCTGCGGGCGCCAACACTCCCCTTCAATTTTTTTTAGGAATTTGACTCTAGTTGAATTTTTTGTATAGACTTGAATATTGTTAACAAGCAGGTGCCCTCTGTATCACCATTCTTTAAAGAGCTAATCATTGGCAGTATTGTTTTTCCTGTTTTGGATTCTGTACATTTTATTTTGAACTCTTTAATTTGTTTGCCTACTGTATTATTTTTTCTAAATTTTTTTTTTGGTTTTCTAAAATGCAATTGCCTGCGGGCGCCAACACTCACTTTCAATTTTTTTTTTAGGAATTTTACTCTAGTTGAATTTTTTGCACAGACATGTTTATTGATAACCTTCAGGTGCCCTTTGTATTATCATACTTTAATGAGCTTATCATCGTCAGATTTTTTTCTGTTTAAGATTCTGGACATTTTAATTTGAGCTCTTCAATGTGTTTGCCTACTGTATAATTTTTTCTAAATTTTTTTTTGGTTTTCTAAAATGCAATTGCCTGCGGGCGCCAACACTCTCCTTCAATTTTTTTTTAGGAATTTGACTCTAGTTGAATTTTTTGTATAGACTTGAATATTGTTAACAAGCAGGTGCCCTCTGTATCATCATTCATTAATGAGCTAATCATTGGCAGAATTGTTTTTTCTGTTTTTTATTCTGGACGTTTTAGTTTGAACTCTTCAATATGCCTTATTATCGTATAATTTTTTCTAATTTTTTTTACTACCATCAGCAGCAGGTACTACCATCAACACAAAGTACTACCATCAGCAGCCTGTATTACCATCAGCAGCTGGTACTACCATCAGCAAAAAGTACTACCATCAGCACCCAGTACTACCATCAGCAGCAGGTACTACCATCAGCACAAAGTACTACCATCAGCAGTGAATACTACCATCAGCAGAATGGTACTACCATCAGCAGCTGGTACTACAATCTGCCACCAGGTACTACCATCAGCAGTGAATACTACCATCAGCAGCAGGTGCTACCATCAGCATCGGGTACTACCATCAGCATCGGTACTACCATCAGCAGCAGGTACTACCAACAGCAAAAAGTACTACCATCAGCACCCAGTACTACTATCAGCACAAAGTACTACCATCAGCAGCAGGTACTACCATCAGCACAAAGAACTACCATCAGCACAAAGTACTACCATCAGCATCGGGTACTACCATCAGCAGCAGGTACTACCATCAGCAGCCTGGTACTACCATCAGCACAAAGTACTACCATCAGCAGTGAATACTACCATCAGCAGAATGGTACTACCATCAGCAGCTGGTACTACAATCTGCCACCAGGTACTACCATCAGCAGTGAATACTACCATCAGCAGCAGGTGCTACCATCAGCACCCAGTACTACTATCAGCACAAAGTACTACCATCAGCAGCAGGTACTACCATCAGCACAAAGAACTACCATCAGCACAAAGTACTACCATCAGCATCGGGTACTACCATCAGCAGCAGGTACTACCATCAGCAGCCTGGTACTACCATCAGCACAAAGTACAACCATCAGCAGTGAATACTACCATCAGCAGCCTGGTACTACCATCAGCAGCTGGTACTACAATCTGCCCACAGGTACTACCATCAGCAGTGAATACTACCATCAGCAGCAGGTACTACCATCAGCAGTGAATACTACCATCAGCAGCAGTTACTACCATCAGCACAAAGTACTACCATCAGCAGCCTGTATTACCATCAGCAGCTGGTACTACCATCAGCAAAAAGTACTACCATCAGCACCCAGTACTACCATCAGCAGCAGGTACTACCATCAGCACAAAGTACTACCATCAGCAGTGAGTACTACCATCAGCAGCAGTTACTACCATCAGCACAAAGTACTACCATCAGCAGCAGGTACTACCATCAGCACAAAGTACTACCATCAGCAGTGAATACTAAAATCAGCAGCCGGTATTACCATCAGCAGCCTGGTTATACCATCAGCTGCAGGTACCACCATCAGCATCGGGTACTACCATCAGCAGCCTGGTACTACCATCAGCAGTAAATACTACCATCAGCAGCAGGTACTACCATCAGCACAAAGTACTACCATCAGCATCGGGTACTGCCATCAGCAACCTGGTACTCGCATCACCAGCAGGTACTACCATCAACTCAAAGTACTACCATCAGCATCGGGTACTACCATAGTCCATCAGCAGCCTGGTACTACCATCAGCAGCCTGGTACTCGCATCACCAGCAGGTACTACCATCAACTCAAAGTACTACCATCAGCATCGGGTACTACCATAGTCCATCAGCAGCCTGGTACTACCATCAGCAGTGAATACTACCATCAGCAGTGAATACTACCATCAGCAGCAGTAACTACCATCAGCACAAAGTACTACCATCAGCAGCAGGTACTACCATCAGCACAAAGTACTACCATCAGCACAAAGTACTACCATCAGCACAAAGTACTACCATCAGAATCGGGTACTACCATCAGCAGCAGGTACTACCATCAGCAGCCTGGTACTACCATCAGCAGCTGGTACTACAATCTGCCACCAGGTACTACCATCAGCAGTGAATACTACCATCAGCAGCAGGTGCTACCATCATCATCGGGTACTACCATCAGCATCGGTACTACCATCAGCAGCAGGTACTACCAACAGCAAAAAGTACTACCATCAGCACCCAGTACTACCATCAGCACAAAGTACTACCATCAGCAGCAGGTACTACCAATGGTAGCAGCCTGGTACTACCATCAGCAGCTGGTACTACAATCTGCCACCAGGTACTACCATCAGCAGTGAATACTACCATCAGCAGCAGGTACTACCATCAGCAAAAAGTACTACCATCAGCACCCAGTACTACCGTCAGCAGTGAATACTACCATCAGCAGCAGGTACTACCATCAGCACAAAGTACTACCATCAGCACAATGTTCTACCATCAGCAGCCAGGTACTACCATCAGCAGTGAATACTACCATCAGCAGCAGGTATTACCATCAGCAGCCTGGTAATACCATCAGCAGCCTGTTACTACCATCACCAGCTGGTACTACCATCAGCAGCAGTTACTACCATCAGCACAAAGTACTACCATCAGCAGCAGGTACTACCATCAGCAGCAGTTACTACCATCAGCACAAAGTACTACCATCAGCATCGTTTACTACCATCAGCAGCAGTTACTACCATCAGCACAAAGTACTACCATCAACATCGGGTACTACAATCTGCCACCAGTTACTACCATCAGCAGTGAATACTACCATCAGCAGCAGGTACTACCATCAGCACAAAGTACTACCATCAGCATCGGGTACTACCATCTGCCACCAGGTACTACCATCAGCAGCAAGTACCACCATCAGCAGTGAATACTACCATCAGCAGCAGGTACTACCATCAGCACAAAGTACTACCATCAGCATCGGGTACTACCATCAGCAGTGAATACTACCATCAGCAGTGAATACTACCATCAGCACAAAGTACTACCGTCTGTCTTATTTTATAAATAACACATGATGGAATTACCATCCTATTTCCCTTTCTAATCGTTGTCCATGCATTTATCTACGAAATAAACTGTTTGTAAGCCAAGTATCGCCAGACTTTATTTTGTGGTTCAATTTTACACAAAATTTTTTTTTATGTTTTTTTTTTAGACTTTAAAATCATTTTATGACGAGAAATATTTAAAACATCTTATCTATAACTAGTTTGTTGAATAAAACATTGTGTGTCACACAACCAGCTATTCCACTAACTTGTTTTACTTTTTCACTTTCTTGACAACAGACGCTTTCTTGATGCGTCATCATAACTACGCACTGTCCACATTTGCACCAATTTAATTTACCACTTCGATTATTTACGTTAATTTTAAAATCATTATTTTCAGTAAAATTGTTTGAATCCCGCTCATTTGAACAAGCTGGTTCAAATTGATAAGGTTTTACACTCGCCATAACGAACAACAACTCATCCAAAAGTAGACTAAAACAAAATAATAGTAATAATAATAATAAACTGGAAATGGATAATATTATTGTAATAATAATAGTTGGTTAGTTTATCAATTTACATTCTTCAAAACTATAAATAAATCGTAAATCGTAATGTACAAAAATACTTAAAATTAATTTCTCTCGAATTTTTTTTTTTTTACATGCTTTTCTTTAACTCACAATGTTTTCTGTTGTCATCAAATCTTGCGAGTTCAATTTAAATCACTTCTAAATGACCTAGGAGGCTCAAATTTTGTATGGAGGTCTAGGGTCAGTGACAACAGAATATATTCGACGGTGAAGGCTCTGGGCGCGATAGTCAAGGTACAGGATGGCGGGATCTCCTTGCTTGGAACCAAAGCCAAAGCCCTCGAAGCTGCATTACCTAAGCTGCGTAGCGACGATGCCAAGGCTACGATAATGGAGTTGCTATCAGTGGTCAGTGCTCTCCAGGAGTCACGCGAAAAGGTTGGCACGGCATTCAACAAATTGGCATCCACCATTAAAGATGAGAAGAACAAAGAGGTGGTAGTAGTTAAAGAGTCATGCGATGCCGAGACACAGTCCCCGTGCTGGTGTTACTTAAGATACATGGGCAAACTGACTCAGCGACAAGCTCTAACGACGGAGAAAGCTGGCGTGACTTCGGGCACTCCAACCCCCTCTTGGACTGAGGTAATTAAGAAAGGGAAGAACAAGAAACCTCCCACGTCAGCGGAAGTAGCGGAAAAAACTGAAAAGGCAGAAAAACCCGGAGCCACGCGACCGCGAGCCAGAGCGCGGCCGTCAGCAATCCTGGTAAACGTTGGTGATATGCAATTCCCGGAGCTAGCCAAGAAGATACACGGGGGCGTCAACCAGGCGATCATCGGTGACAGTGTTGTGGGCATGAGACAGGCTAAATCTGGCGGCCTACTCATTGAAGTTCGCGGTGACCAGGAGCACATAGAAGCGGTCCGTGCTGAAGTCGCTAGGTCTGCGGGGCCTGACGTCCAGGTGAAATCCCTACAGCAGAGGGCACTGGTGGAGATATTGGACCTGGACCAGTGGACCAGCTCTGACGAAGTCAACCAAGCGGTGGCGGGTGCGGCAAGCATCGGGCAGGACACCGTCAAAGTGGTGAGCCTCAGGAAAAGGTTCGGCGGCTCACAGCTGGCTCTGGTATCTCTTCCCCAAGTGGCCTCGCGGAAACTGACCAACGCAGGTCGGCTGCGAATCGGCATGGTCAGTTGCAGGGTCAGAATGGCCGACACCAAGGTCAGGTGCTTCCACTGCCTTGCTTTCGGACACACTTCAAACAAGTGTGAAGGCCCAGACAGGACCGCGTGTTGCAGGCGATGTGGGGAGGCTGGCCACAAGGCGGCCAACTGCACCGCTTCTGATCAGGCAGCGAGCGCCTTCGCCAAGGTGGTCGATGCGGCTAAAACTATACAGTCATGATGGGCACAAGGCCGGGCAACTCCCCTCGTGCAGTCATCTCGGATGGGACTGTCATTCAAATTAACCTCAATCACTGTTGGGCAGCCCAACAGCTGCTGATTCAGACGATGGCAGAACGGAGCGCTTACATCGCAATCATCTGTGACTATCTCAGGCCAATGGGTGACAACGAGCGTTGGATCAACAGTGACGACGGCAAGTCGGCAATCTATGTAACGGGTAACCCACGCCCGCTCATTATGGACCACGGCGCCGGTCTTGGTTTCGTTTGGGCGAGGATCAATAACAGCATTGTCTATAGCTGTTACTGCAGTCCTAACTGCACCATTGCCGAGTTTGACACCTTCCTGGCTAGCCTCGAGGCGTCCATTCACCTCCAATCCAGCAGTCAGGCAAATCTCATCGTGGCTGGTGACTTCAATGCCCATTCAGCCAGCTGGGGTTCAGCTACGGATGACGCACGGGGTTCGCTGCTATCCGACTTGGCATCGACCCTAGATATGATGATCTGCAATAGAGGCTCTACTCCGACGTATGCACGGGCAAACGCAGCATCGGTCATTGACGTCACTATGGCGAGGCCTCTGCCCGGCAACCACCCCCTGGTCACGGATTGGATGGTGTTAGAAGACGTGCATTCAGCTAGCGGCCACGCATACATCTCGTTCAACGTGGTGACTGCACAACCACGACTTCGTTCCGACTGCCCATCTCGCGCCCCGGCTCCAGGTTGGTTAGTCAGGAAGCTCAATCCTGCGGTGGTTAACTTATACTGGGACCTGGTAGGTGCTCCTCTCACGCTTCCTGCAAACGCGCCAGCCGATAGTCACGCCGACAGCCTTAGCGAATTTTTAACTAGATCCTGCGACGCTGCGATGCCGCGCAGGGCAGTATTTACGAGGAAACGTTCGGCATACTGGTGGAACAGCGATATAGCGGAACTACGCAGGATCGCCAATGCTGCCCGCAGGAAGTATCAACGAGTCGGCCGACGATCGTCAATGTCTTCACGAGAACCGGAGCGTGAGGCATACAACAGGATTTGGTTCCCTAATGGTGGAAATTCATCTGGGGCCTTAAAAACTGAGATCCCCTCGGTCCGGGGTCTCTAAGTGAAATACCTGCTAAGTTATACTTTCTAATTTTTTATTGTTATCACTAAAAAGTAGAAAATAAAAAAAAATTAAATTTTTTTTTAAATTTTTTTTTTTACTTGTGTAAGACAGCATTGGAATAAACCACCAGAAATAAAAAATAATTTGAGCATGAGCCTATTGCTATAATTTTTAACACACGATATTACAGTAAAATTACATATGAATAATAGGAGAAATCCTAGACACAGTATTATATTTTTTAATATTTCAAAACAATATTAAACTATACTTATTTTTGTAATAATTTACACTACTTAAACCTAGAATACTTTTGAGCACGTTTGAGCAGACCACCATAAGTGGTTTATTATACTTGTTTTCCACATAAAAGCACTATGATGATTTTTTTCTAGAGTTTTTAGTCGTTTTGTCAAACTTTTTGATAAGTGCCAAACATCGAACTCATGTTCGATATTCGGATGATGTGTTCGAATATAACAACGAATTCCCTTATGTCGATCTGTCAAAAATACATTGATGTTACATTCGTCGTTTTTTTCAAGTTCTTGAAGTAGTAATTCGCATGCTTTTTTTTCTAAATCACCCTGAACCATTCCTTTTTGAGTAATTTTAAAATCTATTATTTTGGAGCTTCGAACATCCATGACTGAGTTCGTGCAGTATTTGGCGCAAAAACCGGGGGAGTCAAATTGACCATCACCAGCTAACCAAATACTTGTACCCATTTTTAGTTCGTTTATATTATTTTGTCTGTGTTGATCCCAAATTAGTTTTACTACAGGAGCTGTATAGTTGTTAATGATTTTATCGTAAACTGTTCTTGAAAAAAATGCAAGTTTTAAAGACGAACAAAATGTTTTCATTTGATTAAATAATACACCGGATAACGTTAAAGCAGCTCCCATTAAAATGTTTCCTACAAGTCGTTTATCAGATAATGGCTGAGACGTCCATTTGAAAATATGTCTATTTTCACATATAGTTTGTACGGCCAACATTGCTCCCTTGGTATAATTATGAATATTTTCCACTTTAGCATTACAGTAATGACAACGTGTAAATAAAATTGATAGAGACTCCCAGAAAACAATGTAACACGAATCGTTTTCTATTTCTTTAGATTTCCTTATGGCATTTTTTCCAGTTTGAAGTACTTCGATGTCCTCATCATAAACTTCAAAACTTTCATCCTCCGAAGTGGAAAACTCATCAAGTGATAAATTTAATGATAAATCATGGTGACTTTTTAATACTTCACTACCTAATTCACATTGTATACCAATCTCGTTTTGTTTACCAGCCACAAATGATTCATTTGTAATCGCCACTAAATTACCGCCTTCTACATCATCGTCATCATCAACATCACTCGATTTACATTCACTATTTTCAAAAGACCTAAATGAGGGCTTTAACTTTTTTGGTGTACTTGTCATTATAGAAGATATAATTTCTTTTTTTTTCTTTTTTTCTTTTTCTTTTTTCTCGTTCGGATAAATTTGAAGAATTTGAAGTAGAGCAGGATATATTTTGAGGAACCGTAGGAACAGCATTTGTGTTAAGTTTGACTTTGACTTTTATATTGGGCATTAATTGTTGTCGTAATAAATCTGACTGGTTATAGTCTTCAGACTTAAAATGCTTTGAACAAATTCTGGCGCCATTACCGGGGTTAAAGTTTTTTCGTTTACAATAATTGACCCAACTTCGAAACCTAGTAGGTGATTTTGAACGACATGGAAACACATAAAAATGAACTCCAGATGACGATTGCTTTTCACTTCTTTCATTACAATTAAAAACAGAGCACAGCGTCATTTTCACAATCTAAAGTTAAATGAAAATTCAAAGCTTATTCACAGAAAAAAATATTTTGTTATAAGCTATAGCAATAAGCATAAAACTTGACTAGCAATCAAAATAAATGAAATATTAATCATTAATTTTTAAATTTTATGTCCGGTACCAAAAAACATAAGAAAAATTGCGTAAATAATCCTAGTATAAAAACCATCTAAATTGTAAAATTTTAATTTTAATAATAAAATTATAAAATAAAACTTTTTATGAAAAATTATAATGAAGGTATCCCGTAAAATTGTAGCTTCAATAATATAATAAAAATATATGAAATAATAATAACTTCATTATAATTATTAAAAAATATTAAGATATGGTATATTATGCTAAATAAAATAAAAACTCGTTAACTGCCAAGTATATAAGGAGGAATAAACAAATAAATAATAGAACTGTCAACTGACATCAAATTTACTAACTGCTAAAGTAGGACTAGAATAAAATAAAATATATTTCTACACAATTATATTCTTTTGATATTGGTTGGTACTTACCACGAGCAAGAGTATATTTGAAAATGAAACAAAATAATGATATTGAAAA